AGAATGAGCACAGTAAATACTGAAACCTCTGATATATTTAATTGATGAGCTAATTTTTTCCTGCTTTCTGTAACTTAATAACAAGTCAAGTTTTGGAAACTCTTCACTTTTTGCAAGTGGATTATCATATCTAATCTCCTCAGAAACAGCTCCTGAAAATGAATTATTTTTTGGCCGTTTTGACTACAAATTACATAATTTTACTTTTGCATAGTACTGTACTTTATAAGCAAATTACTTATGTCAAGTAAATTCAATGCATTATGTTCTTAAGTCTAGGAGAGAAGGAAGCAAATAAAAGAAAACTGCAAAAAAGTATGCAACACATTCTGCTTCACCCAGTCTCGCCTTGGGTGACACCTCACTTTTCAGCAGAAGTTACTGTACTGCCTTTTCTCTCATCCTTCTTAGCTAAGCATTACCGAGCCGCTGCTCATAACGACTCAGGCAGCTGTGTTTGCCTCCCGACACCACACGCACACTCTTATGGGACTGGGCAAGGACTGTTATTCTCCTGCCTGACCTGTGCTCGGCTGGAAAAGCTGCAGCTGCAACTGCAGAAAACGGAGAGACATTTTTTGCTTTTTTGTTCTTCTGTATTACTATTACTATAAGTAGTAGAGGGCCCATAAAATGGAAAGCAGAATTTTGTTCACTTCTTTTGAAAATTTTGATGTATTATGTGAACAATGTTAAAGTTTCATAACATAGCTTTCACTCTCCAGTCCATACAGTCCATATATGGACACTGAGCTGCAAAAACAACCCATTTAGACTTAACTCTTCTGTGATGTCACAAGCATGTTTACAAGTTTACAAATCCACCTATTCAGCCTACAGCTGTTTAGCCCCACCCATTCATGCTGAAGTTATAAGGAGTTGTTTCAGTATACAGGGTACAGTACAGGGCAGCCAATCAGAGCAAAGCTCATTTACATACATCCATCTTAAGGGCTTAGAACAGCCTCTTTAATTCCTTTAATGTGTGTACACTGGAATGGCTAAGGAAATGAAAAAGGGAGATTAAAAATTATTTCATGATTTTAAAATAATTATTTTTAGTACATTAAAACACACACATGTTATAAGTAGACATCAGGGGGAAAATACAAGCAAAATGTAGGATATGGGCCGCTTCCATTGCTTTGGTTATAGCTGTTAATTGCACTTCATGTCTATACAGCCATCTGAATCTGAATCTAGAATCTAGAGAGTGAAAGAAATGCAGGGTGAGAAAGAAAGAATGAGAGAAGGATCAATAGACGAAAGACAGCTACAGATTTCTTTTTTCTGTATAATTATCACTATTAGTATTAAGCATTACTTTCCTTGTTTTGGCAACAGTTGTTAATTACAGGTTATGAAAGAGATACAGAAACAAAGAGAGACTGGCAGAAAGAGAAAGAGAGAGAGGGAGTCTTTTAAGATTGTTTTTGATGTACATCTGTATGTGTGTGAGAGAAAGCGAGAGATCAAGGAGAGAAACCTCAGACTCACACTAGCATACCCATGCCACATGCTAACACAGCAGAACACAGCTGTTGATCAGTGACAGATTCTTAACCAATAACCCTGTCCACATGTAACCACCTCCCCCACCTCTCCCCTCCTTCCCCTCCTTCCCCTCTCTCCCCTGCTCCGCTACAGCAAGGTCAGGCCCCACCAGGAGGTCCCTGGGAGTCATGGGGTCAAAGTTCGGCCACAGGAAGTGCATCCGCTAGCCGCGTTCCGGCGTTCCGGGCTTCGGCTCTTTCCAGAGCGCTGCTTAATGGGCCTGGCAGTCACCGGGGAGAGCCCCTATTTCCCGTACACTACACAAACCACCCTACTCTCTGTAGGTCGGTGAGTCATAGATGTGCGTGTGATTCACTTGGGTTTTTGTGCCAAACAGAATCTGATGCAGTATCACTCTCGACAAAAAGCTTCAGAAACCGACCATCTCTAATCCAAGGCTAGACTAGTTCACACTCATACAGCATTGTAGAGCACTGTGAGAATCCAGTGACGACTGTTCATTTATATCATTTCCAATCAAAATGGCCATTAAGTACAAATTATTCATTTTCATCAGAGACATTTCCGAGGAGATTAGATAAGGAAAGGGAAAGTCAAAGTTTCCAGAACTGGAGTTCAAAAAATGATTCAAAGTTACAGAGAATATGGGACTTTTAACAACAACGCATGACCTGCTAAACCACCAAAACTGTCACCCACAGATAAAAAGCACTTAAAGCTTTCATCTTTGAAAGAGAATCAAGCTCCACTTTTGCTTCAGATCTGAAAACATTCTGTCCATCCTTTCACTCTGAGAGGACATCTCGACACAATCAGTCTAAAGGGATGTGTAGCTGTCAAAAAGCTACAAAACAATGGACTGACCACCCCAGAGTCCAGGTCAACGTCACTGAGTGTGTTTGGATACTAAGAGGCAGAAAATGCAACCAGTTTTGAAGACTGAGCTTTGGAAGTGTGGAAAAATATCCTTGCAGATTTCTTTGGAAAACAGAAAGCAAGCAATTGTATTGTATTTAGTTGTTCAGGCTTTTGTTTAATTGTATGTTAATTCTATTTTCAGCTTTTATCTTGATTCTGGAAAAGTAATAACTTGTAAATAATGGCCATTTTGACTGAAAATTAATAAATGAACGGTAGTCTCTGACTTTTGCTGTACCGGACATGTAGCACCTAATCTAAACCTAATTAAAACCTATAAAGCCTGTAAAAAAAGATCAATTTCAGGTTCTGATCATGGGGAACCCCATGAACCACACTTTTCTGTTGTGGCTGGTCTTGAATGAATTTTGATAATTAGCAGATGAATCAGTGTTAGATAAAGGCAGTAGTTCCCAATGCTGATCCTGGAGTATAGACATCCTGGATATTTTGGTGTCTTCCCTGCTGTAACATTCCTGGGGACTGTTTTACATAATCAGGATTTCTCATTTAGCTAGATAACCTAAGCCAGAAGTTGAGATTTGGCCAGCAGGGCTGTTCTTGACTTCTTCTCCTTCTGGATAGGCTCGACTATAGCTTAAAATATCTGGCCAACTGAAGAATCTTGCTTTGCAAAATGTCCCAGTGATCCAACTAATCTACTAATCAGCTTGGTAAAGCAAGTAAAATACTGAAACACTGTCGCTGTCAAGAAAATGGAGAAAGAAAACGTATCTTTACTTTCAATGCAAGTTAAGGTAACAAGCATTGGTCATTTTGGACCATTTCTATTGATAAAATAGCTAAAAAATACAAAGCAGAGATGCAAAATTTTGTTTGATGATATGCAGGGCAGCAGTTCTCCAGGACTGAGATTTGTACTATCTTGGCTTCTGTATTCTAGATGACATACCTAACTAGCTCCCTTCATCATCCCTGTTGACTCTGGCCATGTTTGCATTTCGCCCACACTCCTTTGACCTTTGGCCTCTCCCTTCACTGTAGACGTGCGACCCAGCTACGACAACAAATCGGCCAAGGGTGAACCTGCCTGGGCCTGCGGGGTCAGCAGAGGGCCAAAACATGGCCGACGTTTTGCTCACATTCCAGATGTTTCAGCTGTGGAAGGTTCTTGGAGAAAGGGCAGGCCCAATGACCCCAAGCCTCTGGGCCCCTGTGACCGGAGAACGTAACTCAAAGCTCCAGAGGAGAGACCACTGCCAGACTAATAGGCGTACAGGATGAACGTTCAGGTGTGTGTGTGGGTGGCATGATGCTCAACACTTTGCTCCAGTGGAACGGATGGGTAACGGATGGATGCTGTGCTGCTCTTAACTACACTCTGAAAAATAAAGGTTCCTAAATAGTTCTTGGTTTGGAAATGCAGTTCTAGGAAACCTTTAATTGACATATACATTATGTGGATGTTCTTAAAACTTTCAAAAGCTTCAACACACATCTGCTACGTTTGCTTTAAATAATAATCCACTGAAAGATTCTTAAGGTGGTTCTCCTGTGGCATTCATTCACCTTTATTTTTAAGCCTATACTAGAAAATGTGGTTCATTCAGTGGTTCTCAATCGTGGTCCTGGTCATGGAGTATTCTACTCCTCTCATTTTGATGTGTTCATGTTCTCACATGTGTAATCATCTAATTAACAAGCTTTCTCCACATGACCTTGGCATGTTCCTATAAGCAAACCTCATCTGAGGTTAAGTGAATGCATCCAGCAGTCCAAGACCAAATCCAGATACTAAACCTAGGGCTCTTCCGTCTAACTGCTATTGACTGGAGGAGGCCAGTCTTCACCAGGCTGCAGATATTGTTGTTCCAAAAAGCTGTGCTTGGTATTTGGAAGAGATCCAACATAAGTATCGCACAGCGAGTGAGAGTAGCACTCTGGGAGGCTCACGCAGTGTGCGCATAATGTATACATAGCTGTCCATGTGTTGCATATATGCTGGTCTTCTCCATGCTGAGGATAGTATTGACACCGCTAATAGGAATTTGTAGACATACAGACAGTGGTAGTAGCAGTCATGTATAATTATACAGCAAACATTGTGTCTACTTATAATATGTCAATCAAGCCTCTATAGGTGAGTACTTTTTGTTATGTTTAACATAATTTTACAATAATCTGATGCTAGTAAGAGTACATATTATGAGACAGTGGAAGTTTAATCCAAATCAGTCACATGATATCAGGTGTCACTGATTATGGACTATTCTAAATGATAATCATTATCAACAATGCATTTTGTAAAGAATGCATTCCCCTATAAACAGATGAAAAGATTACTGCTCAGCTACTGTAAATATTAAAGAAATATCATAATCACTGAAACCATGCACATTTGAATATCTCATTTGAATTCTTTCACTTAAGTTGAGGGTCACTCTAACTAGACTTGATTCGTGTAAGTAGCTACGGCTGTCAGAGTGACAGATAGCAAGCTGTGCGTTGACAGTCAACTCAGTGAAATGACAGTTGAGCCACAATGTGTAAAAGGGCATAAAGAGAGAGAAGAGGCAGGCAATGTAATGCAGATTTGAGGAACTAACCTTGTTTGAAGTCTCGGACCGTGAGGGCAAGAACTGTTATCCTTTTTAGCGTCCTTTTGGCTCTCTCTCTCTTTTTCTTATGCTCTGTCTTGTGTTCCTGTGTGGTCAGCTTCTTGTTTGCTGTACTACCTCTCTCTCTCTCTCTCTCTCTCTCTCTCTGTCTCTCTCTCTCTCTTTCTATCTCTCTCTCTCTCACTCGTTCCCCTCCTCTTCCGTGGGCTACTCAGGAGGAAATGAATGGGGAGCTCTCTCACTGAGCTGTTGTAGTCTGAAAGCGCGCATCACATGACCATTCTGAATGAAGAGAAGGGGGGTGGACCCTTAGGCTGCCAGGGGCGAGGACAATGTACACCCACCCTGGTGGAGGACTGTGTGTGCATATTTGTTTGTTTTCATACATTTCCAGGACGAAAATATTCTGACTTTGTAGGGAAAACACAATTGACCTCTGATGTCTAGATCACCACAATGGTTTTAACTTCGTAAAGCACTTCAAGGTTCATTTGTTTAAAACTGAAAGGGTAAAACCATTTCTGTTTGGATACTGAGGTTAAGGATATGGTTAGGTGTAGGCTTAGGCTTGGAACATTCTGACTACATGTAGTTACATATATGATATATGTAATAAGGCCTATATTATTATATAAGCACTTACAAATATATAATACATATGAAACATATCATTACCTATAGGTATTTATACCTTATAGGTGTATATATATATATATATATATATATATATATATATATATATATATATGGGCACTTACACTTAACTTACAATGAATATCAATTATCTTTTCTTCTTCTCCCAGTTCCTATCTATATCATTATATATAATATGAAATGCATATTGGACATATTATTACACATTATTACACATAAATACATATCACACATATATTGTCGCTGTCAGAACAAACCCTCCATCTCTGTTTTTGTCATTTTCATTTTTTTCACACTTGTAAAATGCCATTTGCCCTTTACATTGTGTTGAAATTTAATAATGAACAGACCAATATTCCTTCTTGTGAAAAGTCACCTTTTTGGAGATACATGGTTTTGCCCTAACATATATATGGGATATATTCAAGATCCCATATTCTGACATTGTATAAAAACATGTGCATGTATGTGTATGTGTGTGTGCACGTTTGGCTCTGAGTCTGAAGATTGCTTCAGAGCTTTAAACTGTTGAATGATTGGGAAACAGACAGTCTGGAGCCAACTGCTATTGGAGTGGCTGGGTTTTAGCCTAAGCTAAAAATGCCCAATTACCTACATAAAATGCTGTTTAACACCAGTGTCATACACTAAGTACTGATTTTGATTAAGTGTGAGATCAAAGGGCCTGCTTTGAAGATCACAGCAGCTATTTTCTCCCTCTTACCACATGCCTTTCTAAATATTAATTTGCTGATTGCTCTTTGTTGTAACTGGTGGCTTAATAGAGATAAAAGACCAACAAATATGAGCAAGATTTAAGGGCAAGAAAGGCTAACCTTGTTTTTTGTTGTTGTCCAGTACTATGTTCCAGCTGGAAGTGGAGAAGTGGAAAATACCTTTGTGGATGAGGCCCAGAGCATTTCCTCATGGTTTACATGGTCTAGGACTGCTACCAAGGTTGAGATTAGCGGCTCATTCTGGGCCAACGTTGGGCCAACGCTGGACTATTGGAACCATTGGCTTTGTTAGTGAACTGGCCACACGGACAGCGAGGTTAGTGAGGTGGTGAGTGTAGTCCATGGTAATTAACACCTTCAGGGCAGTTAACTGTGTATGTGACCTTTTGTTAATTTATTTCAGAGAGAGAGAGAGAGAGAGAGAAAGAGAGAGAGAGAGAGAGAGAGAGATTAGGCCAATTAAAAAAAGCAGATACCCTGATTGCAAAAATATTTAACACATTTCATTTCTTCTCTGCTCTGATTCTTAAGAATGACTTTTTGACCACTTTTTCCTTGGAATTGAAACTGAGGTCGACACAAACCCCTAAATGTTTGAAATGAGTCAGTGACAGTTTAGTGATATTGTAACTATATAGTCATGCAAATATAGCTTACTGAAATGATGCGAATTGAGAAAGAGAGAGAGTAAAAAAATCTGAAAAAGACAAACATACAGAGAGTTGTAGAAAGCAAGACTGAGTGAGTGAGTGAGTGAGTGAGTGAATGAGATAGAGAGAGAGAAAGTGAGAGAGGGATAGAAAGTTACTATTCTCTTGTCATTTCTCCAGCAGTTGGTCTTCTTTTGCCTGAGGGTGATGAACTGTCAGCATGTTCACCTAATGTAAGCCCCCTCACTGCGGACCACTCACCACTGAATGTGAGTGTGTGTGCGTGTGTGGGTGTGTGCAAGTGAGTGAGGGACAGCCACAGGCAGAGCTAATTGAAGAGGTCTGGGGGATGTGTGTGTGTGTATATGTGTGTGTGTGTGTGTGTGTGTGTGTGACTCTCCTTGGAGGCCACTCATCAGTTGCCATAGCGACCTGCTTTCCCACCTTGTGTCCGTCTTGAGCATTTGTGGAGGTGTGAGTGTAGGTGGAGGGCTTTCTTTCTTTCTTTCTCTTTCTTTCTCTCTCTCTCTCTCTCTCTCTCTCCATATATTCTTTTTCCTCAATATTGGTGGGCAGCCAAAGTCTGCTTGCATTAAGACATAGAGAATGTACTGTTTCTCATGAAGCCTCTGAAAGCGTTCAACAAATGTCAGCTTTTATATTAAAACTGAATAAGTAATACATTCAAAACTGAATGTAAAACAAATGAATAGATATTCCCAATTACTGCAAACCAGTACACCTAATACACTCTAGTTCAGTTTTGGATTTTTAATATTCAGTGTTTCTTAGTAATAGATTTAACAAATTAAGTAGAAAGCAGAAAAGCAGATCCACTTTATTGAACTGAGCACAAATGAGAGACCACCCTTTATTTATATGTTTAATTTTTCCACCTCCAAAGTTCAGTTTTAGTAGTTGGTTGCGTTTTCTGCCTCTCATGGTCCAACTAATCTTAAACACATTCAGTAATATTGAGGTCTGGACTCTGATGTGGTTGGTCCATTGTTCTGAGAACACAGCCGCTTGCTTGTTTTATTTGCAAATTCACTTCTTTTTTTGTCTATTTCCTTTCTCAGTAAACGCTTCCTGACAGCCACACATGCTTTCAGACACATAGTGTTGAGTTGTCTTCACACAGTGGAAGGATGGACAGAAACACCTGTGGATGTTTTCAGATCTGGATCTTGATTTTCTCCTCTCTCTCAAAGACGAGAACTTCAAGTGCTGTTTAGCTGATGGTGACAGTGCTGGTGGTCTACCAGGTCTTGCATTGTTGTTAGGAGTCCCATTTTCTCTGTATCTTTTAATAAACTTTTTAACTTTTAACGCTTTTAACCTTTATAACATTTTCTTTTGACTTTCTCCTTCCTTATGCAAGTGGATCATCTTATATCTAATCTCCCCAGAAATACCTCCTGAAAAATAATTAACTTGGCTGTTTTGACTGGAAATTAAATCATTGGAGGATTTTTGCACAGTACTGTATTTTTTCCACTTTTATTAAATCCTGAAAAGCATGCCTATTTTTGGTGGTTTTTATTTAAGAATTTAACAGAAGGCATTAATTCAGAAGAGGATTCATTGCTCAGTTTTAAACGAGAACCGCTGATGAAAATAACACTTTTCTAAAACTGTCTGTAAACTCTTTTGTCAGATTGTCTATATGAGAGCTGATGTAAGAGGACAGTATGCTCTTGGTGAGGATATTGAATTGTGACAGGGTTTATTTTCTACCAATCAAACCAAACGGAGAGAGCTGATTGGACTGTTGATTTTGGCCGGGGCTCGTTAAGTTCTCTGATTGGATTTCCAACAGCTTGTGTACACTGTGCTCTGGGAAAACATTTGTGAAATGAGAAAGAAAAGCGTGGAAACGACAGGAATGTATATTTATTGTCTTGGATTACTGACTTTCCCCAGTAGCTTGGACAGAGACCCCTGAAAATCATTTCCAGCTACCCGTTTTAATGTTAATTGGGTGGGCAACTCAACACAGGTGTCAGTCAAGTAGTTCTGAGTAAAATTTTTGGAAATGTGATAACTTGAGTTTGCAAGATAATTGGAATGCCATACCAAGCCTACTGCACCTGGCCAAACTGCGCCTGGCTTTCTGTCAGGGTTTTTGGGTTCAACACTGATTTGTGCCATTTGTGACCTTCAGTCTCAAAGACGACAAATAATCTCAAGAATGATAACTTTACATTCTTAAAAAAGATACTTCAACAGTTCTTTAGTTCTATAATCTATATTAATTTCATGCTTCAATGGTTCCTTGCATGGTGAAATGGTTCTTCAGATTGATGGAGAATGTGTGGTATATGGTTCTATGTAGAACCTTCTTGAAAATGGTTCTTCTATTGTTACAATGTCATGCTTGCAAAAATAGCAGAACCCATTTTCTAAAAGGTTCTACATAGAGCCATACCTAACACCTTCTCCATCAATCTGAAGAACCATTTCACAATGCAAAGCATAAGGGATTCTATACAGAACTTTTGGTTTTGCTAAAAAAAAGCCTTGAAGGACCAACCTTTTTTTAAAGTGTGTAGAAGAAGGAAAGAAACATTCGTAAATTTAATATACATTTATGTAATATGATTTTATTGATTTTAGTAATTTTTGACAATTTGTATCAGACTTTTGTTTATTTATCATTTAACATCACAGTGTAAAATTCAGCTACAGCTTTCAAAAAATGAACGAGTTACATAGTTTTGTATCTTTTGCTGCTAAATGGATCTCTGATGTTGTGTGCAATGTAATTGGCAATGTGCCATATGCAAGTTTTTTTCTATGAGAAAAATTAATGTCCTTTTCTAAAAATGCTGCTACCTGTAATTCCACCATGCCGTGGTAAATAAAAAATGTTCCAAAATGGAAATCCCTGCTAAAAATGCAGGTAAGGTCAGCTTTTGTTGGTAGCTGATTTCAGATAATCAAAGCTGGTTTTTGATGGTCAGTAGTGAGGTCAGTGGTGGTCTCAGAAGGTCAGGGTAGTTTACTAGCTTAACATTAAGCTAGACCAGGTCAAAACATACCCTATTGGTTAAGCTGGTTAAGCTTTGCTGTGCACTCTTAAAATTGAACGTGATGTAAAACATTAAAAGTCAACTTGAAACTTGAAGTCAACCTTCTGCATAGCAGTTCTCTTTGCTTAGTTAAGTCCTAAATTCTCATAAAATCTCACATTGGTCAA